AGACAACCTCTCGTCAATATGCGTTTTTCGCATTGCATTGCTGCAAAAAACGCATAAAAAATATAGATTAGTAAAAAATAAACTGAACAAACTGGACAAGTAATCAAACGCAACCAACATCAACACATCACAAAATTCTACGAAGTTTTATTTACTTTCTACGCAGCCGACTTAAACTTTTTGTTCAGAGAAAACATAAAATTTTGTCCGATATTAAATAAATCGCAGAATTTTGTTCGAAATAATCGCAAAATTCTATCTAGTACCCGATAATTTGTAAAAATTTGCTTGACACTCTTTAAACCGTAGAATTTCACCCTGTGTTCGATGTACCGCAAAATTCCACCTGACATCCAACATACCACTTTAAAAAAATGTTTGCTATAAAATACCGCTCGCGGAATGCTATCGAAGATTAAAATAAAATTGGCCGGAAAATTCCATTTCATTTGAACAAATTAAAAAGACGTGGATTTTCAAATAACATACCTTACTCGTCAGTGTCTGGGCGAGCGAAACGCTATCACTGCTAAAGGGCTTCACCAACGGGTCGCTGTCTGAGAAACTGTCGCAGTTGCTATGACCAATCTGAAAGAACGAAGCCATTATAAATGATATCAGAAGTTTTTACTGCACAAAGTAGTAGAATCGAAAATTTCATGATTTTGATAATCAGTAAATAGTGGCGCACACCAGGATGATCGGTGCGATCACGAGTTTTGCGCAGTTTTTCTATTGGGAGTTTGTCTATTAAAGATTTTCACTGTTTTACACTTTCGTTGGCGTAATATCAGCCGATGTGCTGCTTGGTCCTTAAGCTACGAAATTTACCATCAAAAATTTCATGTACCTGCACGTGAACACAAACGTACCTAAAAGCTGGATTTGAAACCTTGGACAGCTAACACTGTTCCAAAATTTCATCGCTCCAGTTCTCTGCTTCCAAGTAACTTACACTTAATCGTGTGTAGGACCTCGCCATAAGTGGAGCTAAATCTGAGTTTGTTAGGCCCCTGCATAAGCAGAAAACGTCCTCCTGAAGTTTTAGCTTTTTAGCTCTTCTCACTCTCGATACAATAATTCTCCCCGCCAAAAATTTCACGAAGCCATACGTGAGGCTTACGCTGAAGCTGGACGAGAATTTGCGGGTTGTACGTGGTCAGGGGACACTATCCTCAAACTTTAACTTTCCAGCATTCGCGGCCCCCGGATGATAATTTCTTCCCTCCTTCTGAAAATTTTCACACAACCATAAGTGCTGCCCAAGCGAACGAGAAGGCTGATTTTAAATTTATTGGACCGTACTTGAGCAAGGCATATTACTCAAAAATTTCAGCTTTCCAAATCCCCTGATTCCCAGACAGTAATTTTTCTCACCAAAAATTTCACGGGGTCGTACGTGATACCGAGCGAGCGGGGAGGCTGAATCTGTATTCGAGTGGTCGCAAGTGGGCGATGAACATCCTACTAAAATTTCAGTTTCCCAACTTTCGTGGCTCCCAAGATAACAATTTTCCTACCAAAATTTTCGTGGGGGCATACTTGAGGGTATGTGGGGACTGAATTTCCGTTTGCGGAGTGATACATTGCCGAGGAATCCATTAAATTTTCAGTATTCCTAGCTTTCATAGCTCCCGAAAGTGTCAGATAAAATGCACTCGGTCATACGTGCACACACATACATACATACATACACACACACACACAAACACAAGCACAAACAAAAGCAAAGACAGAGGCGTGATAATGAATTTTGTGCTGCTGTTACACGGCGCAAAAAGTATAAAAATGCAAGGACGAAGTTATTCTGAATAATCGATTGTTCAAAAAATTCACTTTGTCCTGTTTGAACATTTCTATCAGAAAAGGTTGAAAGAAAGGAAGCGAAGAAAACGATATTAACTAGAAAACTGGTCTAAAATTTTTAGATAATCAAAACAATTACTTTTTCAAAAACGTGTTCCGAGCCAGGCCTTTCAATATATTTCGTGAGCATCCAGTTACACTCAA